GTCGCCATCGTCGCTTTCTGGCCGAGGGCACGTTGTTGTGACAATGCAGCTGAAGTTGTACGGGTCTCCCAAGCAACCGAGGGTGTATCGATCAATCGATGCATCGATCGGTGTGACTGCCATGGTCCGCTTTGTCGTCGTGGGCAAATGCGAAAATATGAAAGTGTAATCGTGCGAGTTCGACATCCAAAGGTCTGCATCGGCCCAGCCAGTAATGGACGTCTATCAAGAGAACAACTTCGCTAAACAGGCCAGTTCAGACTATTTCCCTAAGCGAACCTTCAGCTTCCGCTTATTCTCGTTGTTCGCTCATCATCTTGACCACACTTCTTGTTTCAGAGGAATCTGCTGGCCGAGCGACAGCGGCAAAAACGCGGTGGCATGTGTTCCGGAATGGTCATTCGAAACGACCCACCCCGGGACGACTCCACGCGACCGCTGATGCCGGGCGCGATGCAGGCTGGAGGTGGCGGCGGAGGAAGTTTAGCCCGTCGTTTCCTCACCTGTTACGTGAATCCTCTAATCATCGCCGACGATGAAAGTGACTCACAGGAAACTCGCTGCCTGGAAAAAGAGGGCGCACCCAGCGGCGGCGACCCTGACAACAGGTTCGTTACTCGTATTTCGTTTACACGTTGCACTGCACCATCCGCCAACCGTCATTTAAACAGTGCATTATAAAATTTCGAAATAACATACTGTGCAAACTATAGTACATATTAATCATTGCTGTGTTTGCACATCCACCTTTACACAATCCTACTGTTGTTGCAATGGGTAAAATGTTTTTCTTCACCTGTCCACTGATACATCTGCTTATTTGTGAAACCGAGCTTTAGCACAGAAAATGTATTTGTTTTATTCATGATGTGTGAACTTCTGCCCAATCTGCTGTTGTACATCTCCTGCTCAGGCTGCCAGACAGACCCACCGAATTCTCAAGGTCCTTTTGTGAAGGATTTGCTTTGTTTCGTTAGATGTCTGATGTTCTGTTGCGACTGGACATCTTGCAGCGATTAATCGCCAGGCGTTGAAGCTGAAAGTCTGTTGTTTGAATATGATTACCAAAGAATTCAGCTTTACAGAATGGGTTAAAGAAAGCAAAAATGTGCATAAATTAAATAACAATTAATAAACAGCTATGAAAAGAAAAAGATTTAAACCATGAACAAATCTGTGCAAAGAACTGATGCAGTAGATTTACTTTAAACCTCAGATTTTAAATGGCGACTGCAGAACAACGGTGATTTTTTATGAGCCATTAAAGCAGCAAAGAACGATAATCCTGGACTGTTGCATATGGCAACTTTGGAAGTCGTGGCGCTGTACAATAAAATAGCCGTTTAACGCTTACTGGATATGGTTTTCGATTTTGTAGCCAAGAGCACAGCTATGTGGAAGAATGCAAACCTTGCATTGAATAAGTTGAGTCTAGAAGGCATTGTCTACATAATAAATATAATATGTTGCGTTGTTAAGTTTAAATTTGATAATGTGATGCATTGACAGCACTGCGGTATCTCAATGGGTTTTCTTGTTAGTGTAGTCTTAGCCAAAATCTACAGGAATCATGTGGAGTTAAATACCCTTTCTCCATGTTCACGTCACTTCAAACCTGCACTGTATTTAAGATATATTAATGACATTAAACCTA